GGGGAAGGCAGGGAAGCAGGAGATGGGCTGTCACAGTGCACTGTCAGGAGGCAGAGCCAGACACTCAAGTGTCTAGTCCATCCCCAAGTACCTACCTCTTCCTGAAGGTACCACAACCTTCTAGAATAGCAGCACCAACTGGGGGACCAAGTGCTCAAACACATGAGCCCTTGGTGTTGGGCAGGGGCTGGATCGGGGCGTGGACGGACACATGGACATCTCATAGTCAAACCACAGCAGAAGCCAAATTAGTGTGGATTCCCTCTGGACCAGTTTTAAAGCTGGCATTGGGGGTTTGAGCTATACCAGTGTGGTTTGTGAAGCCTGCACTGACTGCATGCCCACAAGAACCTGAGCTGTCAGCACGCTGCCAGGTGCTGATTGACACAGAAACCATGCAACTTGCCCAAAGTTACACAGCTAGTATTTCACAGTGGAAAGGACCTGAATGAGGCCTACACTCTGCCCCTAGATCTCATGCCTTCTGCAGAAGTCCTTGGCTATAGAGGAAGACAGCTATTGAGCCACCCAGAAAATTGGGGCCCATGAAAATAACTAAAGTGCCAGGAATCAGAGACACTGGAAATACACATATTTTTTTCCCAGCATGCCAAAGATTGTGATACCCAGCCCTCCATATGAATGGGAACACTGGAGGGGAAGGTAGCAATTATTCTCAATTACTCAAGAAGAGAATAAGAGCCGAGAAGGGCTCTTCTCTGGTGCCATTTTAATCAGCTGTCCAAAAACAAGCACAAAACCAGCAGATGGAACACAGGTTAAGTATATTCTGAAGGCCTTGCAAGCTGGAGGGGGAGATTAAATAATGATATACAAGCAATCTAACAGTCCCAGAAACGTTGTAGACAAGATCAAATGCCAGGCAGAGTCAAGTGTCTTGTAATTCATGTCAATTAGGAAAGCAGTGGGTTTGGCATAAAAACAGGGCTCTCCAGCTCAGCCGGACAGGGGTGAAGTGGGGAAACAGCCAGTTGCGTCCGGCTACTTGGGAAGGTTGTCTCCAAATATCACACAGCTCCTTTTTGTCTTCTGGCATAACTGCTTTTGAAGATTATGAAGCTTTCTCTTTTGTTGTACTTTGTTTTCCTGAGACAAGGTTGCACTATGTAGCCTAAGCTGGCCTCTAACTCTTGGCCCTCCCATGGTCCTTTGCTGTGTGGGCTACAGCAACCTGATACAGGTTGAAGATCTACAACCCCCAATGGCTTCCACTGGCTCCTCTAACAAACCCGTCACCAGAAGGTCCTGCTGGCTCCTATAGCATTGGCCTCCTGCACAGCTCCTCTCCCTTCCTCGCTGCCCCAGACACAGTGGCCTGGTGTGAAGTGACTACTGACATTTTCCCTGCAAGTCTGTCAGCAGCTAGATGGCAGAGCCCACTAGTTCATGCATCTTAATCTCCCTGCACCTAGCACAATATCCCAGAATCTGGGACATGTGCTACAAGGAAGTATTCTTTAGCCTCAAGTCCTTTGAGATGACCAGTTCTACTTTCACACATCCCTCTCAGGGCCCAGGTACTGCATGGGGTGAGTTCAGCAGAAGAGCATACCTAGTTCAGCACCACTGTCTTCAAATGTGTTTTTAGTGAGCATTTGAAGGAACGATTTCTCTAACAAGCTGAAAGGAGTTTGCCTCACCTTGGTGCCAGGTGAACATTCAGAAGGGCTATGGTTCTTGGTTCCCATCCACTCGCTGAACTGTAATAGGTAGGACTGGCATGGAATCTCTGCCAAGCCCAGACTCACTCTGCAGAGGCATCCTGTAGTCAGTGTCCACATATGTGGCTTAGTCTGCCTGGCCTCTTTGCACATCCTGAAAAACCCACCCTTCAGGAAGAGGAAGGAGAGCTGCCTCTAGCTGACTAGCAAGTTTTCTGCTGTTAGAATTCAGCTGGAGAATTCCTGCTGAGACCCACTGCCTCACAGTCTCTAGTCACTGTCACCAGTGACGGCACTGTGTGGGAAGCACACAGACACTCATGTGGCACATAAAACAGGCTATGTAGCATAGTCCCCAAATGGAGCTCACCAGTCAGCTCAGGAGTGAGTCAGTTAACAGCCAAGGCTCATAGTGACTGGGAGCCCATGACTCAGTCACCCCAAAGATGTCACATATGGATTTTTCTTCATGGTCCAAACTAACAAGTGAGTCACCTTTGAAATACACCCTTCAAAGAAAAGATCCCAACATGGTGACTTTTCTGGGCAATTTATATTCAAGCTTTCTAGAAATCTTGCCATCAAGACACCAAAGCATATTCTAAGGTACTGGGCCCAGGTGAATCTGCTCAAGTTTGACCTTTAACTGAGTTCAGTGAAGGCCTTGGTGAGCACTGACCGTCTATACCCTGACTCATCCTCTCTTGGAAATTGAAGAAGTTGCCCAAATATTTCCTGATATAAGCTGAAGTGGACTTAAGGGAAAGTGTGTATGCCCCAACCTCGTGCCAGGTAAAGATTACCATCCAACTAGCCATCGAGCAAAGGCACGGTCCAGTTTAGGGATGAACTTGTGGCTGGGGGGCAGTTGGGTATATTGTATTTATAGGAAACTGGTCTAGACATCTGGTCACCACTCAGCTTATCACTGGGCCAGGCTATCCAAGGTAGTAGCCTTCAAGCCCATGTTCATTTACGCATAAATAAGTGAGAGAAAGTCTGCTCTACAGACCTGAGTGTGGAAGGTAAAAGTCCACTCTGCTAGCAGGGGTGGAGCTTCTCCTGCATGAAGGGGCCATATATGGACCACTGAAAAGAGGAAATCTAATCCAAGTACCCGCTCCACACAGGACAGATCTAGGATGGCCACTGATCATTCTAAATGACTGGGGTGATTTGAATAGGAATGGCCCCCATAGACTCATGTATTTGGACTCTTGGTCCATAGGGAGTGACAGAGGTACGGCCTTGTTAGAGTAAGTGTGTCACTGTGGGGGCAGGCTTTGAGGTCTCATATTCTCAAGCTACACCCAGTGTTGCTCAGTCTCCTTCTGCTGCCTTCGGATCAAGATGTAGAATTCTCGGCTCCTTCTCCAGCACCATGCCTGTGCGCTGCCATGCTTCCCACCATACCAATAATGGACTAAACATCTAAACTATAAGCCAGCCCCAATTAAATGTTTTCCTTTATATGAGTTGCTGTGGTCATGGTGTCTCTTCACAGTGACAGAAACCCTAACTATGACAGTGACTGAACTCCAGAAGCCCCATCCCTTGGTTGCTGACTTCTTGGTGGACTTGCCTCAATGGAGGTTTATAAAATGGGGGGGGGAGTAAAGAAGCAGGAGATAAAGAAGGAGCTGATTCAGCCTCAGAGAACACTCTTAGCCATATAAGAGTGTGGTAGGCTGAGCTAGTTCCTAGACCCTTCTGTGACAAATGGTCTTGGCAGATGTGATTAAATTAAGGATCTTGAGTTGGGAGACCACTGGAATCAAAAGAGGAGGAGGGATTTGAATCAGAGAAGACAAGAGGATGTGAAAGATGAAGGGCCAGAGTAATGAGGCTACTGTCTCTAATGAGGACCAAAAGCTGAGAATACAGTGTCCTGGTTGGCAGCCCATGCTGAGAACCAGCCTTATAGAGAGTCCTTGCCAGTACCATCCCCAGTTGTTTTCAGGTCCTCAAGGGTCCTGAACGGCCCGCAACTGACTGGACATTTACTATCCTGTAGCTGGAGATGTGCCTCCTTCCCAGTTGATTCCCAATGGTCCCAGATGGCTATGACCTGGAATCATCCATGGAGTTGGTGACTCCTTAGTGCCCGTATGTCACTCCAGGTTAATTAAGCCAGGCCAAAAAAAGCAACATGGTGGTGGGCTGTGAACACAGTCTCCCTCAGCAGCATAAAGTGCCAACAAGGAGGGGAAATGTCTCCACTCTCTGGCAAGAGGGTGTGCATGAGGCCAGCTGCTGGGGCAGTTGTCTGAGCACACTGCATCCAGATGTGGGTCTGCTTTCTTCAGTTTTACCCAGTCTTTTGCATGGTGACTAATGATACATTTTCAATAGAGGGCATCTACCTTCACGACAAGTAGCCATGATAAAAGAAACCTCTCTGAGACAGTCTGGTTCACCACCATGCACATGAATGAATATCATGATAGCAGTGATTAGAACCAGGGAAAATACTGGATCAGAACAGCAGTCAGCAGGCATGACCAACCCAGATGCCAACTTATTCTCTGTGTGTGCATGTGTGTCTATGTGTAGGTTTGTGTACACACATGTGCTTGTGTATGTGGAGGCCAGAGCACAATCTTGAGTTTACCTTGGTTTTTGGGACAGGGTCTCTCATTGACCAGGAACTAGCCAATAAGCGAGGCTGGCTAGCCAGTGAGCTGTCTCCCTAGCACTGGGATTATAGGTACATGTCACACTTCTATGTAGGTGCTGGGGAGCCGAACTTGGGTCCTGAGGCTTGTATGGCAAGAACTGTTATGACTGAGCCAGCTCTCCAGACAACCCCCCCAACCATTTTTTAAAATTTTGTAAATTGCATATTTGTGTGTGTGCATGTTTACTCATGTGTGCCCACACATATATGTGCATACACAGAAAACCTCCATCCACCTTAACCTGAGTTCCAGGAACTAAACTCAGTGTGACAGGCTTGTGCCATGAGTTTTTTTACCCTCTGAACCCTCTTACTGGTCTGTTTTTAAAAATATCATGTAAAGACCACAGCCAAGCTTGCCTGTGTCTGCCATTGTCTCTGATGCATTCACACAACACAGGTGATGCTGAGTGTACCTACTGGAAGGGCACAGCCTACTGAGCCAAGCACACTGGCTCTCTGGTGCTTCATAGGAAGCTATCCTGGTGAAGTAAGGGGGGTGGGCCCCCCCTTAGGAAGACTGCCCTTCCCTTGGGTGGCTATTTCCTCCTCTGTTTTTCCTAACGTTATAGCTTTTCTGTGGTGAGTACAGTCCAAGGACAGATTGGTTGGCAGCAGTGACATGGCCCCCAGATGCATACCTTGTTTCCGATGGCCTTTTTGGGTGGAAAGTTGTAGGCCCTTACTTGTGGGAATGTGTTCTGCAGCTGGTGATGCAATGCTCGGAACTCAGTGTACCGTCGATACACATTCCACTCATCGTCCTTTATCCGGATGTAGACCTGCCAATGAGGGAGACAGAAGACAGACTGAGCCCAAGCCTCTTAGGTCATCCTCACAAGGGCAGTTGCTGCATCACTCTGTTCTCACAGGGGCCACATCTGCTTCACACCACTGGGCACCAAGCACCTGAGACAAAATGGTGGCACTGATGGCAACAATGGGCACAGGAAAAAGTCAGTGAGGCAAGTGACAGGAGAGCCCAGCTGCACAATATGTACCCACCAGTCTGAGTGACAGCAGGGATGCATCTCCCTGTTCACATATGTGGCTCTTACAAGCTGCCCCATGGACACCAATTCTGCAAATCCCACAGGACTGAGATCACGCTGGCCACCACATAGCAGGCCAGCACACAGTAGGGGAGCTGATTTTGGACAAGAGGAATGAGGTCAAGATCTTCTAGACTGCTGAGGGGCCCAACATAACAGAAAGCCATATTCAGGGACCTTAAGCACATGCAGGGACATAACTTTATCTCAGCCAAGTTGGGGCACTGCCTGGTAATGCTACTATGGGCTCAGCACCTGCCAGGACACAGCACAGCTAATTGGCAAGGAACTCTAAGAAATGGGAGGCTTTTTTTTTTTTTTTTTTGGAGAATGGTTTCCCCATTTGTACCTGGTTGGCTTTGAGCTTGCTGTGTAGACCAGGCCAACCTCAAACTCACAAAGATCCTACTGTTTTTGTCTGCTGAGTACTGGCATTAAAGGTGTGTACCACTGCTCCCAGATGATGTGTTTTAAAACATCATTCCACCTAAGAATTATAGAGAGGGTACAGTCTCCATGTAATGACTACTAAACTTCATATGAAGCAAGGATCCCTACATCTTCAAGAACAGACCAATAGGAACAAACATCTCTACTGTGAGTCACAGTCTCACTGCATTCTTCATAATATATATTTAGAAACTGCCTCTCTTTTTACTCAGAGGAAGCAAGAGCATACTTACTATTCTCCCTGCTCTCTTGAGCCTTCTACATGGATGCTTGGCAGTCCCCCCTAACCCACAGGCAGCCACACCCAGTTCTACAGGCCATGTGTTTCCACCCAGGACTCTCCAATCTGTCTCTAGTACAGACCTCAGACATGAGCTGCAGCCCTGGTGTGCATCCTCACATTCTTTAAATCTGAAGCCAGACCCTAAGCCATAAGCCTGGCCCTCCTCCTAGGTTTTTATTGATTCATCTCCAACAGCAAAGACAAAAGCAAAACATAATGTCTTTGCTGCTCATGTTGCCTGCAAGCTGCCAAGCCAAGTCAGCAGCAGTCTCTAGGAGCAGAGGACTTGATGGCTGAGAGTCTCAGGGCAGAGTAGGCTCTGGGGATCCTGTTGTAAACATACCCTTGCTTTTGCTGGTATCCAGGGTGCGTTTCTGGCAGCCACTGTTGCTATACCTGGAGGATAGTGATAGACGGGAACAGAAAGAGTGCCAAGGCTGCATGGATTACCCATGATAGGCTCACCTCAGCACCTCACACATATGTGGGTGGAGCCTTCAGCTCTGAAATGAGCCTCTGAACTCAGTGAGTGGGAGGCCCAAGGTTGAAGAGAAATAACAAACTACAACCAAACACAAGACCTTCAGCACTCAGTACCTGTCATGAGCTGGGCATTATACCAGGTACACACCTCTCCTCTTGTCCTCACATGAAGCTGCAAGACATGTGGTGGGGCAACATCCTCTTAAGATGAAGACATAGACTCAGAGAGGCAATGCCACTTGCCCAGAAAATAGGGAAATGAAGAAGTTGAGCCCAGAGCTGTCTTCTCCTCAGTGTCCCAAGTTTTCTACTCCAGTGCTCCACTGCAATGGCTAGGGCTCACAGGGGTCTCTAGGATCCCAGACCAACAATGTGTTCTTGCCAGAAAAGCCCCTAATTTCACCTTCTCACTTACACTTCTCCCCTTGGATCTAAGGATCTAATGATAGAATCAAAATCCTCCAGATTATTAACAGACAATCCCCAACAACCTGCTTGGCATCCAAGCCTGGGAAACCTGAGGTACAGCTGATTTGCTCATGAATTCTACACCACAGGATTAAGCATGCATATGCTGAAAACTGTTAGGGTTATTCATTCATTCATTCATTCATTCATTCATTCATTCATTCATTCCTTTTAAAGGGCTCCTCCACCCAAATTAAGTCTGACTGGCCTACTTTCCTTAACTTGAACCGTGAAGACAAAATTCCTTGGAGGAAATGAAAAGCCAGTCTCTTCCACATAACCAAGCTCTGTTTTAAACAAGGGATAAAACCACACATCTCCTTGACCCAACAGAAGGAAATAAAATCAGTGGGTACTGCTGGGGTGAGCACTAGGGCTCACTGTCTCCTGCCTGCAGGGAAAGTGCTGTTGTATAATAATCTTTTTTGTACACTGTGAAGATGTGCCACTCTGGTTAGTTTAATAAAGAACTGAATGGTGGACTGGAGAGATGGCTCAGTGGTTAAGAACACTGGCTGGTCTTCCAGAGGTCCTGGGTTTCTATTCCCAGCAACCACATGGTGGCTCACAATCATCGGTAATAAGATCTGGTGCTCTCTTCTGACCTGCAGGCATACATGTAGGCAGAATACTGTATACATGACAAATAAATAAATCTTTGGAGAAAAAAAAAAGCTGAATGGCTAATAGCTAAGCAGTATTTCCAGGCACAGAGGATGCTGGGAAGAAGAAGGCTAGAGGAAGCATGACATACAAGAGGTAACAGCCACAAGCCACATGGCAGGACATAGAGTAACAGAAATCTGTTAATTTATGAGCTAATTAGAAACAAATGTAAGCTATCGACCAAGCTTTCATAATTAATGAGTCTCTGTGTCTTGATTTGGGAGCTGGTTAGTACAACAGAGAAAGACTCACTACAAATGGCAACTAAGGTAGGGAGACAACTCTTGGCCATTGCCTGTATGCTTGAGCCACCAGTACACCATATGGATTTTGCTCATACAGACAGAAAAACTTACAGATATTAAGTATGTTTTCAAGGTCAGTCAGAGACATATTTTAAATAGACAGATGGTCTTCAAACACTTAAAATACCTACAGAATATGGCATTTAAAATGTTTTAATAGCATAAGTCTTCTCATGATACCTGTATCAACACATCTATCAAGTGTTAGTCACGTGCACAGTAGGGGACGGGAGGGGAGTCAGGAAAAGAGAGTAAGGATCTGCAAGTTTGCTTTGGCAGGTGAAGCTCCAGGTCAAAAGTATGCCAAGCACAACACAGCCTCTTTAGCTCAAAGCATGTGGGACATCAGGCTGGCTGGCAGGTTGACAGAGGAACTGGGCACGGGGCTGTGCACAGGGAAAGCCTGAGCCCCCAGCCTAGCTGCATCCCCAGCACACACACTGCAACCCTAAGGACAGGACCTCACTCAGGCTCAGCTCCTTCCCCTGCAGAATGGGGTGCAGGGCAGGCTCACTAGGTGGTCCTGAGATGCCATGCCTAGCAGGCACAGTGAGCAATGGCAGCTGCAGATATGGCAAGCCCTGTCACCTCCGTCATCCATTGCCTTTGTGTACATGAACTTCCCTATTACAGAATTAGGGGTAATTATAGGATGTGCAATCATGAAATTAAAGCAGGTAATTACCATGCCTAATTAATTGTCAAATGCTAGGCAGACAAGGGAACACAAACAGAAAGTGTGGCTAAGGATGGGGCAGTTCTGAGTGCCCTCTGCTTGCAGAAAGCTCAACAGCAACAGCAGAGGTCAGAACCTGGCCCCCTGGGTGGGTTTGCCAGCACTAAAATAAACCCTGGATGTACACTGGGCTCTGACTCAGCCAGAGCTGGGCGCCCTCTGTGCTGGCTGCAGGCCAGCAAGGCATTCATACAGCCCTGTCACAAACACACCCAGAGTCCCCAACCAGAGAGCTATTTCAGGAAGGGACCTCATAGGAGAGATACTTAATGGCTGCTGTAAACCTTGACAAGGAGCAGACTGCAGAGAGATGCTGGCCCACTCATGGCAAGGACTCACAAATAAAAGCTGTAGGTTTGCAAGCAAAACGCCAGGCTGCCTCTGCTTGCTGAGCGCTCAGTAAACACCTCCCTCTCCACTCAACTTCTGCACCATATGGAGTCCTGACCCCAGAAGCAAAGGTTTCCCTATGCATTATGTCCTTCATTTATTTTTCTTCCTCCCCCTCTCTCTCCCTCCTTCTCTCCTTTCCTCCCTCCCTCCCTCCTTCCCTCCCTCTCCTCTTCTCTCATTTACAAGGGATTGAATTTAGGACCTCACACATGCTAAGCAAGCAGCAACCAATGCGCCACACTCCAGCCATCTCACTAAGTTTCTCAGGCTGGCCTTGAACTCACTCTGTAGTTCAAGCTGGCCCCAAACTTGTAATCCTCCTGCCTCAACACCTCTACCCTCAAGTATATGGGATGACAGATCTACACTACCAGGCCCAGAGCATGAGGACAAGTCCAGAGAAACACAGGTCTCATTTCTCTTAGAAAATGCAAGTCTGACTCTCATTTCTGGTACTTATGGACAATGACAAGTGGCTTAGCAAGCCCTTTCAAAATGTATCAGACATTTTGCATAAGACGTTCTCCAAAGCTCAGTGATTTTCTTTGTCTTAAAATGCGGCCATGGAACAGTAAGATGTGTAAGCACCATTACATGACATGGAAGGCAGCAGAGACCAAGCTCACAAGCTTCTGATGGAGGAAGGGCCCAGAGCCACACTGTCTTCACACCAGAGGGAAGCAGTAACAGCCCAACACCAACATGAGGACTGTCACATGCAAACTAGTCAGATGACATTAGATGATCTTCAAGACGGCTTGAGGTTCCTAATTCATTTTGTTTCCCTAGCAGCCAATGAGTTCAATGATTTGTGCTTTGGTTCTCGGCCTATGTTAATGTACCCTCACTCAACTTCCCTTTTAATGAAATGGCTTCATGTGTTATTAACTGTAAATGTCCTCAGTGCTAGATCAAAATGCCCGAATTACCACAGGACCACACTGAT